CGCTCACTGGCTCATGAGGCATGAGCAGAGAGACAGGTCAAGTGGGAGTTTCCTGCAACTTCTTCCTTTCCTTTTCGGCCAGGTGCTCTGGGTGGGGGGCCACCGCATTAAACCCCACCCCCAAAGTCAGCTGCTTTTCCCTGGCCCTCAGTCCTGGCACCTCTCAGCTTCACTCAGCCCTTTGCAAACTTTTCCACTTGGTGGGTACCAAGGCATCCATGGAGGGGAAAAGGAAAATTAGATTCGCAGTTTCTTTCCATTCCCGACATTCTCATTCCGGTTGCACAAAGGGCTGGACTCCCCCTCTAACTCCACCTGGCCCCCTCCTAGAGGCCAGGCCGCTTGGAAGCTGGTGGCCAGGAGCTTGGCTCCCTCTTCTTTGGGGCCTAAGCATTTCCAGGGTCTAGGGCCTAGCGAGGAGGAGGCAGAATCCCAGACAAACGCTGGGCAGACAAAGAAGATGCAAACAGGATGATGGTATTACCATGTTAATGGCTTCAGTCCAGCAGCCTCCTGAAGATGCCTGGGGAGGGTGGTTTTCTTTCTTTTACTTTTTCTTTTCTTTCTTTCTTTCTTTTTTTTTAAAGGAGAATAGTTCCGCTTTCTATTTTACTGCAACAATAGCATGGACCGGCCCCTTCAAGTGTTTCAAAAAGCAGCTTGAGAACTCTCTCCCCAGCCCCTTGGTCTTTCCAGCCAGCCCTTTCATTGTCTCTCCCATGGCAGTGAACAAAGGGGAGGGACCGGTGTCAGGCCCGGGTGCTGCCTGCCCTCGGCATCCTAATCCTCAGAACCAGTGAGGGGAAAGGCCCGTGGAGCTGGTCAATCACATTTTGCCCTCACCTTTCATTCCCTCCCTCTGCTGTGCGCTCAGAGGGCTTCAGGTATTAGGAGTCTTGGGGTTTGCAGAGGATAAAAGGCACCGAGGGACCATTCCCACGGTCACCAACAGCCCCACCCCCAGGGCAGCCCCCAGGAGCGAACCGCACTTTCCCACCACTCCAGCCCCGCTCAGCGCTCTCCCAGAGGCTGACATCAAGCTACAAACATCAAGCACCAGCTTCTCTTGGGAGCCCAGGACCTGCCCCAGCCTCCTGCCTAATCTTCCCGCCACCCTTCTCTGTGCCCTGCAGGTCCGACCAGGAGCTTCATGCCCACTTTGGCTGCCAGAGCAGCCCCTCCCCCCAGCAAAGCTCTGTGGCCGGCACTGCTGGTATCTCTCCGGGCTTATGGCACACCGAGCAAGGCTTCTCTGCTTTCAACCTGCGGACTATGCAGATCTTTCAGAATGGGGGAAGCAAGCTTGTGTGTTTCAGCCTGTGGTGATCTCAAGGGAAGAACTAACCGCACCGAGGGAGGAGAGAGGTAAAGGGTAAGCACGTGGCCTCCCAGGAGAAGCAGAGAAATGAAGTCTGGAGGCCTTTAGAGATCGCCCAGGCTGCCTGCTGCAGTCCACGCCACAGGCCACGTGATCTACATACACAAGCTGACCACGTACATATATATGCACACACAACATCACATGGAAGGATCCCATGTATGTGTTATAACCTGGTATTCTCCCGTTCCCCTTCCTCCCCTCTCTCCCCACCTCCCTTTCTTCCTCAGTGCTGGTGACACAGCATCAGTTTCTTCACAGCTGGCTACCCAGGTTACTGTACAATTCTTAAAGCCGGGGCCCCGGAGACTTTTCTCAAAAAGCACAGCAGAGCTGGAACTGAAAACCAAGTGTCCTTTCTAATAACCGAGGCTCTTGACTTTCTGGGGAGAACAGCTCCCATCGTCGCCTCCCCCCACCCCACCCCCCAGAAGACCCAGGAGCACATGGCAGGAGAGCCGGGCCTCTGAGGTTGTGTTCAGGCCCATTGCTGACAGGGGAAGCAGGGTCTCCTAGAGAGAGAAGTGCTTCCGGGGGAGTAGAACCAAGATGGCAGCCTAGAAATCAGCCTGGGAGGTTTGGAGCCCCTCCCCCGGGCATGTTTTTATTGGTTGGGGACTTAGCATCATGACATTTTCTTGAATTTTTCTCTTTCCTGGACATATTGCTCCGGGTCCATCCCCTTCAGTAACACACTTCCTTTTCTGGTTTCTAGCTTCCTCTGTAGTTATTCTTTGCTTTACTATTATATTATTATTATTGTTGCTGTTGTTGTTGTGTGTGCATGCACACGCCCATGCACATACTTGACATAGCATGCACGTGGAGGTCAGGGAACAATTTTCGAGACATGTTCTCTTCTTCCATCTTGTTTCTTCCCTTTCTTTTCAGATTCTGTTTTACGTGTGTGAGTGTTTGGCCCGCATGTATGTACGTGCACCACCTGTGTGCCTGGCGTCCACAGAGACCGGATGAGGCAGTGGATCCCCTGCAGCCGCCAGTGCATGCTGGGAATCACACCTGGGTCCTCTGTCAGGGCAGCGGTCACAGTCCTGAGCCACCTTCCCAGCTTCTCTCCATCTGGTGTCTGAGAGGCTGGCTCTCTCTTGTTATGTCTGCCATGCTATGTACGCCAGGCCAGGCTAGCCCAGCTGGAGGGAGGGGGCAGGGGGAAGAATCTCTGCCTCTGCCTCTCATCTCTTCATAGGATTGCTGTTATTATGGGTGTGTGCCAGTGCATCCGGGTTTTGTTGTTGTGTGTTTGTTTTTAATGGGGGTTCACTCAGGTTGTTGCGTTTCTGAGATCCTCACTGTTGGTTTTGGACCTCCGCCCACCAAGTGTATACCCAGTTTCCACTCTTCTCTACACAATCCCCTCTCCTTTGTCTGAATCATGATCTTAGGAGCGGACATGAGGGAGGTAAAGCAGGGGATCTTGTCCCTGCAAACACTCTCAGTGTTATCCACTTTAGACAAGCTTAGAGATGTTTCACAGCAAGGCCTTCAGTACAAGCTTTTCTTCCTGAATTTAGCTTGCAACTTTCCTTAGACTTTCTGAAATCTTCATCTTAACTTTCTGTTTACTAGACCACTAATCTTCTAAGACAGCCTCTAAAAATGGAGCTCTCAAAATCCACACTGTTCACTAGGTAAATACAAACCCAGCTTTCTGATCGCTTATTAGTTATACACCCTTAGAGAGTATCTAACAAAGGGGCCTGCTGTTTGCTTTGCTTAATCTGGTCTTAAAATCTCTGCTTCTTTGTCAGAAAACAATATTTGCAATTGTAAAAAAAATATTTACCGAGGAACTTGGATAGCGTAAGTCAAAGGCTAAGAGCCAAAGGTCAGTGGTTCTTACCCCAAATTTCTGTGGACCTGAGAGTCTCCCGCTGGGGAGCTCGGCTGCCCGAAACAAACACACTGCTTGAGAGTCCATTAAGAAGCAGACACTCTAGAGGGGGCGGGAAGGGGGGCTGCAGCCTATTCCTCATCCAGAACTCCCCATCCTGCCCCTGCTGGGTCTCTGCAATGAAGTGATCTCCTTGGGGACACCGAAGCGACTGCCCTGTTTTACAAACCTGGGGAAAAACCCGAGTTTATAAAACCCTGCAGGGCAGACATTCCTCCATGCAAAGCAATAGCAAAGGTTCTCTGGTGGGGCAGATGCTCACCTACGCATCCCTGTGGGTGGGGTCTTTGGCCTTACAGTGGAGACAAGTGTGTATCCTGAACACTCCTTAATCCATAGAGCAGTTTTAGACATGTGACTCCAGAGGCTGAATTGCCTACGTTTTAAATTTACCCTTGCATGTTAACTATTTTCTGGAAAGACCTGGCAATGTCAAGAGCCTCTCCTAACCAGGGTACCCAGAAGCTAGGATTGAACCTCCACTCAAGTGAGTTCCAGTTCGTGGCCTGATGGGAGTTCTGCTTTGAGCAAGAACCCAGCTCCTTTAAAGGCAAGGACCATGATGTCACAAAATCCAAACTAGAAGAAGCATCTTTGGGACTTCAGCACAGGGAAGTGGGGTTCCAGGAATCCCACACACAGCCCTGCAGGTTGTGGGCTAAGAGGGAGATCTTGGCCAGGCAGGCACCCACAACTTGTTCACAGTTCAAACCACAGGATCTGCTGCGGAGATGGTGGGGGCAAGTTCTCACCAACAACCAGACGTGTCCTCAACGTTCGCCTAAAGTAAATACCAGCTTCAAAGGTGACGGCCATCTTCTTACTTACAAGATCTTTACAGGGCTGAGGAGACAGCTCAGCAGGCCAAGTGCTTGCTGGGAAAATGTGATGACTGCAGTTCGGAACCCCAGGCCCCATGTGAAAAGTTGGTGGTTGTGGCAGCCCACTAACAATCGCAGCACAGGAGGCAGGGACAGAAGACTCCCTGAAGCAAGCTGGCTGGCCCTACTCGCCAGAAGGGAGAACTCCATGTTTAGCAAGTGACCCGGCCTCAGACATAAGGCCAGCAAGGGACCCAGCCTCAGACATAAGGCAGAGAGTAATTGAGGAAGATCCCTGTCAACTTCAGGTTTCAATATGCATAGGCACCTGACTGTATACATGAAAACACAAATACATACATACATAAGCAAATATACATATGTACATATGTGTATGTATGTATGTATGTATATGTATGTATATATATATGTATATATATATATATATATATATATATATATATATATAATCTATGGTCATAGTGTTTCATATTGGTCTACAGAATCTCAACGGATTAAGCCCTAATTTTTTGTTATTGTTGTCCCATTTGGAGGGGTTTTTGTTTGCTTTTCTTTTTATTTTGTTTGTTATAATGCAACAATATAAATGAGCATTCATCCACTACACAACAGTCCCAGCCCTTCCATTCCAGTCCCGTTACTAAATCCTGTTGTTCTTCCTTCTTCCGGTCAAATTCTTGTTACAACTTGCCAAATCTCTCAATCTTATCAGGGTTAAAAACAAAACAAAAAAACCACCGGTTAATTCGCCTTGGCCTTTGAATTGTCCTGAGCTAGCATCTAAAAGGACCCAAGCAGTGCTGGCCACTGGCTAGGGCAGCACTGAGAAGAACATGCTCACAGTGGCCATTTAGCGGAAGGATCTTACCTTGAAGAACCAGGCCTTCCCCTCTGATGGTGTAGACGAAGGAGGTGAAGGGAGCCAGGGGGGATTTGGCAATGAGAATCTGCACAGAAAGCATATTTTCCAGAGTTAGACAAACGTTTAGGGTGAGCCTCTACTAGCTCCTTTCTCCTTGGCTAGCATATGACTACAATACATCGGATTTATTATGACAAATAGCTTAGAGAGTTGGGCACGACGGCGCACACCTTTAATCCCATCTCTCAGGAGGCAGACATAGGCAGAGCTCTATGTGTTCGAGGCCAGCCTGGTCTACATAGTTAAGCTCTGGGACTGTCAGGGCTATGAGGAGAGATTTTTGTCTCAAAAAAGCAATAATAACAACAAAGATTTGTTTTAGAACCAAATGTCAGAATGCATCTTAATCATCTCAGAGTGGTCAACTAGGAAAGACATTTATCCCAACCACTATGCCATTAAGCCAGTGGTTCTCAACCTGTGGGTAGCGACCCCTTTGGGGACTGAACGACCCTTTCACAGGGGTCACGTAAGACCATCGGACAACACAGACATTTACATTATGAGTCATAACAGCAGGAAAAGTACAGTGATGAAGTAGCAACAAAATAATTCTGTGGTTGGGGGTCCCCACAACATGAAGGAACTGTGTTAAAGGGTCCCAGCATTAGGGAGGCACTAAATACCATATTCTTAAACAAATTCTTCCAGAAATAAGATTATTTTTTGTGACATGGTCAAATAGTTACTATCATGGCAAACATTCAAAATAACTTGCTAAGGCAAAGCCATGATAAGCTGTTGATTGGCCCTGGCCTGGATTCCTTACCGAGTGTGCTTCTACCCTTTATCTCGTGACTCTATTTTCTCCCACTGAAAGCCTTCTCGGGCTCTTTCTGTTGGATTTTGACTGTGGGTTTGGCTACATGGTGTGTTTTGGCTTATGCCAGTTCCCAGTCTAGGCCTCAAGTATTTCCATGTGTTCTCTTCTCCTCCTGCCATAGCCAGAGGAAAACAGGTCCGAGCTAGTCAGCTATCCCAGGAGAGTCAGAGATGCCTGGGACAGAGCTAGCCACACAGGCCACCACAGGGGACCCACATGTGTGAGAGTTAAATATTGCTGCATGCCTCTGAATGTTTGGTGGTGTTGTTATGAAGCATTATTGCACATGAGTTGACCTGTACTCCTGCAAAAATGAAATTCCAGAAGTATTTGAAACAATGACATTCTCCTAAGACAAATGTCTCTTATAAAGAAGGTGATTATTTGGTAAAAATTATTTTTGTAAAATCATTTTGCGGAATATACATGCATCCCTATATACACATATATATGTATGTATCTGGGAGAATATATATATATACATATATATGTATATATATATCAAGTGCTACATGCATATACACACATATATATGTATGTATCTACATGCATATACACATGTATATATGTATATATATATCTCAAGTGCTTATCAATGGGTACATGAACTAGTTACGTGAAACACAAAAAAATCAGCATGTATTTATTTGGAATAAAATAACAATTTCAGAATGGCAAGAGGGATCACTGGGTAAGGCAGTTACTATCAAGCCTGTAACAGTCTGAGTTTGATCCTCAAGACCCAGATGGTAAAAATGAAAGAATCAACTCTTAAAAGAATTACAAAGAATCAAATCTTCATCTGACCTTCGCATGTATGCCCCAGCATGTACATGCAAACACACACACACACACACACACACACACACACACACACACACACACACCCCTAAATGTAAAAAATAAAGTTTCATTAAAAAGTCTAGAAAATAACTGGTAGATTATTTTATTATAATAGTTCTGCTCAACAGAGATATGTGTCCTGTTTTATAAGCAAAAATAACTTCATTAAAAATTGTGGCAATTTGTCACAGAATCACTTTGGTGGTCAAGGAAGCAAAGAAAAGGAATAAATGATTCCAAACCATAAAAAAGCTTCCACATATCTCTCAATCTATCTCAATTCAACATCTACCAACAGTCAATTATATACAAAGATTACAAGTTTTGGTGACAGGGTTTGAACCGCATCCTTCAGTTAGGCACCTGGGCAGAACCTACTGGTTTCTCTTATTAGTAATTCCCATTTTTCTTTCTAGTAAGTAACTTCCAAGTTCCTACATTTCTTTGCCTTTTTTGCAACTAAATGTGGCCATGTGCACAAGCTTTGATTGACAGAATGTAAGCAGAAATGACAGGTAAGACTTTGGATTGTGTTTTCATAAGAAATCAAATGCCCCTCACTTCTCCCTTCCTGCTTCCCAAGGGCAGGAACACAGCCCAACCAGGAGGACACTGGGGACGATGACACCATGTGTGAGGAGAAACTAGGCATCTGAGAGAGTGTCCGTGCCTCCCACCCAGGCCCCTGGCTTCTCAGGACAGAACCACTTGTCTTCACCTCTGTATTGCAGATGCATTTGTTATTTACACTACAGTCTGGACCAGTGTTGTGATTCTAGACGGCCGGAGTGTTTTGAATCTTAGTTTTTCTCATATAAATAAAGATTTAAAAAAAAAAACCTCTCTAAAAAGATTATGGTAAGAATTAAATAAGAAAAATGCTTGTCACTGTATCCAACACAGAGTAAGCATAAAATGAGTAAGAGGAACTCAGCCCACCACACAGGCTTCCCAAATGCCCTCTCACCACCGAGATACACTTCGCTTTCACTAAAAGGGAGTCTCTAACTGGATCTTGATCATTTTTGTAGCTACTTTGAAGTTATTTGACACACTTGCTCATCGTTCTTAGAACCAATGACGTCAAAAGCATCTCATCTGAAAGTTAAGGTGGTTCATTAGTTTGGGGATGGTTCATGTGAAGTGTAAGAACGCTCTTTCAGTGGGGAGTGGCATGGCATAAAAGAGGAGAGTGTGTTTCAGACTTGAATGTAATCACTTGAAGATCCTGTGGACACGTGGATTCTGACTTGTTAGATTTGAAAGGGGACTGAGAAGTCTGGATGGATCACCACAGGCTCCCACTAATCATACATGAGTGGCCTCACTGAAGAGTCTAAACTGGGAGAGTATGAGGTAAGAGGCCTGCAGACAGTTAGGAGGTCACTGGGGTAAGTTTGGGATGAGAATGAGATGGACCTATACTAAATTAAAGAAAATAAACAACACTGTAAACTAGGATCTTTATGGCCTATGTGTAGCAACTAGATGCAAAGCCCAAAGGATAAGATCAAATAACAATAAATACTATCATATTTTGCATGTTATATGATCATTTTTATGAACTACAGAAGTTGAGAAGTAGAAAATAATGTTCTAATACTTGATGAAGCATTGCCTTTGCACCTAAGCTTTCTGACTTGATGCCATGTCTGTTACCTTAGGGATAAGGTCCCCAGCCTGAGCTGAGGGTACAGTGTGTCTAGAAGGTCTTTCTCAAAGGCAGTCACAGGGTTTGGACAGGCCACTGGTTAAAATGCTGTCTTGGAGCAGAATTTCAGATGAGACATCACGAAGATAATCTGAGTGCAGTTAGCAAGAGGCAGTGAGATAACACAGGTCAGATGGAGCCCATTTCCTTTTGGGAGGGGGTGAAGGGAACTTTCGGACTGATTGATGAGAGGGCTATCTCCAACATGAAATTATCTAATTGTAGCAAAAAAAAAAAAAAAGTGATCAAGTTTCTTGATACCCCACTGGATAAAGTGAGGATGAGTAAGGCTGGATGCTGACAGCATTAAGTACGTTTGTAAGTGGTCCCATGATCCTTAGCAACCTCTAGCAAGTGGTAATGAACCGAGCCTTGGCCCTGTCAGGTTCAACATTTTTACTGAGACAGGTGAGGATGGTGCTGGATTCAACCACACCCTTTCACAAACATGGAGCCAGCAGGAAAGAAAGTGACAAAAACTACTGCTTCAACACATCTTCCATCCTAAAGGAGGCCAAAGGGGATACAATGAGGGGATGCGGTATGCCAGGCGATTATGTATGCTATGAAGGGAAACCCAGCAAAGAGCAGAGATGATTTGTGATCAGGGACATGGTCGGCTTTAAGTGCAAGAGCACTAACATGGGCTGAGGATCATGTAACTGAACACACTGAAGGGATGCTGAGTGGATGGGAGGTAACAAAAGACAAAGGTATAGAGTTTAGACATTAGACCAGACAACTATGGTATCTAAAGGAATCTCAATTTGGGTAAAATGTTGAGACAAATCCTACATATCTTTTAGTAAAAGGTGAAAGACTTCCATATTAAGAGGTAACCAGAGAATCCTACACATTTTGTAGGATAAAATTTCATTGAAATAAAACATCAGGTCTTCTTTTGGGGAACAGAGCACCGGTTATGGGTTACAGAGTAGGAGAGATGAAATCTGGCATTCAGAAAATGGACTAGGAGTGGTAGTGAAATGAATCAGTTGTGAGATGTTACTGAAAAACCCAGTGTGCTCTCAGGTTGTAAGCTCAGCATCGACAATGGGAGGTCGTGTCGGCAGAATACACACTTAATGACTGCAGTGTGTATGGATAGAGGCCAAGACCCAAAAGGTGAACTGACAAACGGGAAAAAACACAGGCAGTTAAACGTCCAAAGCAATTCATGATCACGAGCTCTGAGATGCAGTCATGAAGGTCGGAGGCTGAGGTGAAGGCCCACGTTACTTCTGAGTTTTCACACATAGTAGTGAGGAGAAATAAAAATTACTTTTTCATGTCCTAGATGTCAGGAAAGATAGTGATGCACGCTGTACGTCTTTGTAAATATGCAAAGATTCCTCTCTTTTAAAAAAATGACCCAATAACCCATACCTTTGCTCCTTTGGCCATTCAAATCATAAGCTAGCTCCTGTGTAAGTGTGTGTGTGTGTGTGTGTGTGTGTGTGTGTGTGTGTGTGTGTGTGTACATGATACAGACTTTGGATGTCTTCCACGATTGCTCTCAACCCTATTTTTTGACAGTGTCTCTAAGGAAATCCGGGGCTCACCATTTTGGCTCAACTGGCTGGTCATGGGGCCCCTAGGATGCTCCTGTCTCTGAAGCCTGCCTCTGAGAACTGGGCTTTCTACAGAG